AGTGTGCATCAGTCTGACTGTTCTGCTCCCCACTCTGTCTCTGGTGAATCCTCTCACCCCCATAACTCAGGCCTGTACCCCAGCTCTTGTATGCATAAATAAATAAATCTTAAAAAAAAAAAAAAAAAGTCCTTTTTCACAAAGGACAAAAGCTAGCTCTCAATTTGTATTTCTCTATTTTGGGCATGAAGATGTTTCCTAAAATCTTCTGAAGATATCCAGAAATAAAGGGAGGGAAACCCTACACTGTTAGTTTTTTTAAAGGATATGAGAATAAACAATATTAAGTTAGTGAAAAAAGCAAATAATGGACAATGTATGCATCACCAAAAATCAATGAGATTCGATTTTCCCACCATTTTGGAGAGCCAGACTGCTCTGGAGTCCTTACCTTACTAACATTGAGTGAAGCTAAGGGAGGAGGGGTTTCTGTTCGGTCATTAATAATTTCCACTTCTGAAACATACTGTAAGTTTATGAGCAAGATGTCTGCATGGTTGGGCTTTCCACTGGAAGAGGGACATTCTGGTGAGAGAATAAAGTTAAGGAAAAGAGGGGCAAGCAGAGGCACTGACACATTACAACAGTGGTGACACAATTCACACAAGGCTTGTGTAAAGCGTGCCTCGATCAAGAGGGGGGAGCCGCACAAGAATCACAGTTCTCCTCACCTTCCTCCCGCTCAACCCCACAACCAATAGACCTTTCAAAGTCAAACATGATCCAACATCCAAAGGGTTTCTAGCACTCTCTGCCAGTTTTATGGACAGACATAATGCAGTTTTAAAGCCATATGTATACTATTTTGTCCTGAGCCTATGAATCACACAGGAGAAAGAGAACTTTCAGTTCTTGGTATAATACTCCCTGTATTTGTACAGTGCTCTTCTCACTTTTTCAGCTTTGAGATTTCCCACTTTCGAGAGGAGAAAACTACAGCACTGGAAATGAAGCTCAAGGTGACCCAGCTAGTTAATCCATTCATTTATCCACCACTCTCTCGCTCTGCAACCATTTATCAAAAACCTACTGTATGTCAAATAAAAATTCCCCATTCCCAAATTCTTACAACTAAAACCACTAATATAAAAGGTCTTATTTAGTCCAAGTCTAAATTCTCTTACAAAAAAGAAAAAAAAAGGGCAACCGGTCCTGCTATAGTTTCAGAGGAGTGTTCCTAAACTAGAAATCTACAAGTGGTTATACGAATTACAATACTTGCCACTCAAAGGCAGCACACTCAGTAGGAAACTTCCTTTTGGAAGATGCCACAAAGTATTACTCCTTTAAAAAATCCAAAAAAACCCACCTGTGGCTCAACTATAAGGGGAAGGGGTGGCACATTTACTACAGCCAGGAATAATTTGTTTCCAAGATTGCATTTCCTGGAGTAATTCAGAAATCATTTCCACCCCTGAGAAGTAGGCCATTCTGTTGAACGCTGACACTTTCAAAAGGGGAGTCTACTACTACGGAAAAGTCAGAAGTCCATGTGCTGGGAAGATTACTTACTCTCCTTTCACCTGTAACCCACAGAGCCCTACATAAGCCCCCCAAAACGTAGTCCTCTCTCTACTACCAGATTTCCAATGCAAACATCCCCAAAACGTCAATTTTCAAGTGCTGAGAAACCTAAAATTCAGTCATCCCCACCCCCAATGGCAGCACGCACACACTCACCAGCAAAACAGGACCCTACCCCCGGTTCAGACACCAACTCTGTCCTGCAGTTACTCTCCCCCCAACAGGCGAGGCCCTTTTGGACACCACACTACCGCCCTTCCTTGGACCCAATCCCACCAGCAGACACCCCATCCTAAACTCCAGACCCTTAGCCCACTAGCAGTTCCTCACTCTACACACCCCCTCCCCACATGATTTTACCCGCCCCCCGTCCATCCGGGCTCCAATCCACCAGCCCCCTCCCACGACTATCCCCTCTCCCGTTCACTGTGTCCCCTCTCACAGCTTCTCCCCCGAAAAGCCATCCGCGTGTCAAGCCCCCCCTCCACCTACCTACTCTCGCCTGAGGCCCAGCTCCCACAAGGGATGGGAGACAGGGTCCCCAAAGCGAACCGAGGAACCCGCGAGAGGGGGAGGGGAGCTCAGGGCCGTGCGCATGCGCCCCGGGCGCCGCGGTAGCCGGTCGCCCCTAGGCCCGGAGAGGGCCCCAGCCGCCGCCGTCGTCCCCCACCCCCCCACGACCGCACACACACGCCGGCCCGGCCTCGGGCTCCACGCAGGGAAGGATACTTAAAGCCAGCATTTTGGTCTGGTAGTCGAAGGCTACCACCTCGCCCTGCAGCCGCTGCTCCTGGCACGTCCGGCACGACACCTGGCTCCCAACGCTGAAGTACTCGCCCGGAGCCGCCATCTTGGGAGAGCAGCCGCGGCCGGCGGCGGCGGCGGCAGCAGCGGGCGAAAGCCGGGCCCCCACTGAGCGCCGCGACGCGACGCACGGGGCGTACTGACGTCACACGCCAGGGCGTGGCCTGGCGCTGGGTGGGGCGGGAGTTTAGGTGGAGAAGGCAACGAGAGGAAATAAAGGAGAATCCGAATAATTGTGTTTGTGCAACTGCCCCCGCTTGGTAAAGGGATTGCAGGATCCGTTTTAGACGTTAAAGATAGATGAGCTACTGGAATGAAAAGGGACAGGAAGAGGAAGCTGCAGTCTCCATTATGTGCACACCTTGACACGAGGAATGAATGAAGTCAGTGTTTTAGAATGAACTCTATTTGACATACGAGGAATCCGAGGCTCAGAGGACTTAACGAAATTCGTTCAAGATGATTATATCTAGTTACGTGGCGTAATGGAAAGAACATTAGCTATAGACATTACTAAGTACGAATCTGGGTCCCAGGTCTGTCAATAAGTTTTGTGACGTTGAGCAATTTACTAAACCTGATCCTTTTTCATTTTTGCTTCTATATGATCACTTAGTGAGCATCCATCAGACCTTAAAGGTGGAATCAATATCCTATTTTTACGTTTAACAGTCAGACTAAACACGTCCAGACTAAACATGTCGCACAATTTGTGAAGACTTGGTCTACCTGTTTCTAAAGATGATGCTATTTGCTGCTGTACTGTATTAGATAATACTGTATACAGGAAATTAAATGACATTTGTACCAATACATGACATGTGGTAGGTCTTTAATAAATAGTATTCCCCCATTATTGCTCACTCATCACCTTGGAATTTGGGGTGCTTCCCCATCTCTCTTCTTGCTCACACCTCTGGAAAGCCAGGCAAAGAACAGGAATGAAGAGCAGTGATAATAACAACGCCACAATTTTCTTAACATGTAAATACTATGCAGATGCAACTTCAAACTCTACCACCCCCAATTGCTATCCCTAACTCACCTATACCCTTCCTCCAAGTATAGAAATTCTAGGGCCTCATGTGTGAGCAACAATAGATTGACCTTCCCCTAGTCCAAAGAGAGGCAAAGGCTATCCCTGGTGCTACTTAACCAGAACAAAGTTCAAAAGTGTTTCTTTACCCTAAAAGGGATATCAACTTCCTAATATTAGGTATATCAATACAGTCCTAGTTTTAGGTATATCAATAGTGCTCCCGCGCACTGATATTTTTTAATATGTCACTGTGATTATAGGTTTTCATATATAACTGCCAGACACTGTTAGGTAAGCCTTCCTGGAGGAACAGAAAAATGTGACACCTGAAGGACTAGCAAGAAAGAAGGTGGCGATGTTCCAGGCAGAGGGAACTGCATGTGCCAAGACCCAGGATGAGAAGCATGGTGACTTCAAGGAATATATTTTCAGAAATATTATGAAACAGACAGTGAGGGTAGACTGGTAAAGGCTAAAGTCAGAGCGAACTTTCAAAGACAGAAAATTTAGGCTTTCTCCTTGGGGCAATTAAAAAACATTTAGCAAGGGAGTGAAGAGACCTTTATCCAGAGTCCTTTCCCCACACCTTTTTAATTAGTGAAATGAATCTCTTTCCAAGAGCCCATTTTCATCCACCAATCAATAAACTCTCCAAGAACAAAGTTGCTTGAAGTTGGAAGGAACAGAGGCGCCTCTAGTCTTTTCCCACCCCACCCCTGCCTCTAGGCAGGACCAAAGTGGCCCAGAATAGCTGAGATTTCTATTTCCTGTGCATTCCTCCAGAGGGTTATTCTAAACTTTGTCGTGGGTGTGTGCCCCTCCTCCTTTATACCAACCCAGTTACTATCTCACGGTTTCTCTGCCCTGCGGTGTTTTGGAAGGCAAGAGGATAGGAGGGCAAGGCAAGTTAGGAACTGAAAGTGTGAATTAAGATCGTGCTATATGTAAGACTTTTTAAGTCTTTAAGGATGACACCTCAAAACCTAGATGCTTATCTGTCAGCCCCTAAATCAACAGAAGACGAATTGAAGCGGGAGTCTCGGATTGGACGGGCAGGACGGGGGTGGGGGGAGGTGGAGGAGTCATGGGGGCGTATTGGGTGCGCGGGGTGGGGTGTGTGTGCAAATTTCGAGTCCCACTCCGGTGCAGAACGGGCTGTGTGGTTCCCCAGAGGAGCGGATTCCGTAACCCTCTCTCCAACAGATCTCAAAATATTTCTGAAGGGTAGCGGTGCTAGAGAAAAGAGGACAAGAAGTCTGATCTGCAAGGAACGCTCGTCTTGGAGGTCACGCATCCATTTTCGCAGCAGCAGCAGCAGCAGCAGCAGCACCACAGCAAACACTCCGGACACGCCGCAGACCCGCAGGTTAGTTTGTCTCTTGACCCGGAACAGCAGCGGGGCCCGCCTCTACGCCGGATGCCCACGTGCCGGCAACAGCGGCCACGTGGGGCCTGCGGAAACGCATTCGCAAAGATTTGTCCCCTGCGGGGCCCTGTAGCGGGGGCCCGGGAAGAGCGCAAGAGGAAACCGTACGGGCAGAAGGCCCGGCTCGCGTGAGCTTCGAACTGCCTGGGGCGGGGGGCGGGGCTTGCGCCAACCCCTGATGGGTGGGCGGGGCCTGGAGCGCGGAAGAGTGGGTTTGGGGAGGCTGTGGGGAGCCGCTTCCTAGTCGCACTGACACCTCCGCTTCCCTCTTAGAGCAAGCCGGGGCCCGGCGGGCCTCCGGGTCGCCATGGAGTCCACGCTAGGGGCGGGCATCGCCATGGCCGAGGCGCTGCAGAACCAGCTGCCCTGGTTGGAGAACGTGTGGCTCTGGGTCACCTTTCTGGGCGATCCCAAGAGCCTCTTTCTGTTCTACTTCCCCGCGGCCTACTATGCCTCCCGCCGAGTGGGCATCGCGGTGCTCTGGATCAGCCTCATCACCGAGTGGCTCAACCTCATCTTCAAGTGGTGAGATAGCGAAGCCCCCGGTGTCCCGGCCCCCACCCCAAGGCTGAGTCCTGTGCGCCCCCACCCCAAGGCTGAGTCCTGTTTAAGGGCTGACCTCTCTGGCAGGTGCCTCAAAAGCCTGCATCTCTCCCTCCAGCCTGCCCCACTGTGAACTCGTGGCCTTCACACCCCAGACCCCAGGCTCCTGAGTTTTCCCCTTTGAGCATTGTTGTGTATCTTGGACTCAAACCTGAGTTCCCATCCTACTCATTAGACCACTGGGCCTGATCATCTCACCTAAGGGGCGTGTTTACAATGCACATACTCCCTCCCACCTCAGATGTACGATTTAGAAACTGCTGGGGAGGGGCCTGGAATCTGTATTTTAACAAGTAGCTATGATGACTTAAGTAGCAGAGTCTTGCTTCCCAGCTCACTTTTTCATTCATCTGTTCGGTACTCATCTATTCATTCATGCTTTGTCTTGGGCATCACGCTAGTTGCTAAGGACAGAAAAGTCATGCAAATTAAGTTGTGGTCCCAGGACCACAAGTGACAGCATAGGGACACTTGAAAACTTACTAGAAATGCGGGAGCTCAGGCGCCATGTCAGAGCTAAGGAACCAGAATCTTCATTTTAACTAGTCCCCAGATGACTCCTGTGCACAGTGAAGTTTGTAAAGCTCTAGGCTAAAGCATTACCTTCAGGAGAGTACTTTGTCTTCTATTTCCTCTTCATTCACTAGCAGGCTCGTCACTGATATTTAGAAGCCACGAATTTCAAGGTGGGTGGGGCTTTTGGGGCTTATCTCTTTGTGCCACCTTTTTCTCTCTGGGGTGCAGAAGGGAGCTGTGCCTTCTGCTGGACATGCAGCTGCACCTCCTCTACCTTCAGCCTCTATCGCCAGATCCCCAACCTGGGGGAGGGAAAGGAGATTCATAGGAGACACTTGATTGGGCTGGAATTATTTGCTGAAAAACAGAATGGGAGTTTCCTTCCCTTCCCCTCTTCTCTGCAAGGCCTTCATCGGTACTGTCAAGGGAAAAACTATTGCCTAGTCATTGCTTTCTTGCCTAATTGCCTTTTGCTCTGTGCTCTCCCCGCTAATAGTATAAGCCTCTCTCTCTCTGCTCCTGATATCTCGAGAGTCAGACCACACCCTAAGTATGCCCTCCCCCCATGACAAAGCCCCTATTCATTTTATAAGTATGTATTGAGCACCTGACGTGTAAAGCAGACTCCATTTTTGCGGAGAGGCAAGTCCTTTCTTTACTTCTTCCCTCCCCTGTACTTTGCTACCTGTCAGAAGTTCTGCTCCCTCCACCTTTTCTCTCTCTGCCTACAGCAACCTCTTCAGTGCCTGGACACTTTCCCAGCATCCAGCCAAGCACCTGGTAGGCCAGGGAACTTTGAACTTTTGTATTCCTTATTCTTTCTCAGCTTTCTCTGTCTATTCCCCACTTCTGTCTTCAGGTATAACAGGATTTCCTAGGTAATTCAGGATGGAATTTGGGAAATGGAAAAAGAGGGAAGCAGGAGGGTCTGAGAGAGAGGGAGGGAAAGACCCAGGTCCTGGGCTCTCTGTGGATAAGAAGAGCTGACCCTGAAGTGGGAAGGGTAAGCCTGGGGCTCCTGGGCATTTGAGAGTATATGCACGCATGTGCACATACACACATACATATGCACACACACACATGCATGCACAAGACCGCATACACCTCTGCACCCCTGTCACTTTTTTTTAAAGATTTATTTATTTATGCATACAAGAACTGGGGTACAGGTCAGAAGTGGGGGGGGGGTGAGAGGATTCACCAGAGACAGAGTGGGTAGCAAAACAGGTGGATTGACTGAAATACACTGCTGAGGGGGGCAGCGGGCGAGACAAGAGAGGGCTACTGTGCCATGTAGGTAGCTCCTTGGCCAGCCAGGATCAAACTCCTGTTGCAGAGACTGCAGATAGCAGTGCTTAACCCCTTAACAGTGCTGTGCTTAACCCCTTGCACCACCAGGAAGGCCCACTTTTTTTTCAATAGCATGCTTTCTCCTGTCGCAAGATTTAAAAAAAACCATGCAAGATAACAGCATAGAATTGAAGCCCCTTTTTAACTCTACCTTATAGGCCCTCCAGAGTTCTCCCTAGTGTCCTTCCGACCCCTTCCTATCTCTCTAGCTAATGTGCCTAATACCATCTCACATCTGTTCTTCTAGGTTTCTGTTTGGAGACCGGCCCTTTTGGTGGATCCACGAGTCGGGATACTATGGCCAGTCCCCAGTCCAGGTTCACCAGTTCCCTTCTTCTTGTGAAACTGGTCCAGGTGAGAAGCTTCAAACCTCCCTTTCCCAGGGTAGTTAGGGTTCAAATGAATATTTCAGGTACTTTGCAGCCAGGGTGGCCTAGTCAGTTACTGGCCCAGAAAACAAAGAAACCCCCAGGAAGACCAAGAATTATGGGAGACAAGCACACATGCTGTGTGCCAGCTGCCCATCTTATTTAGAGTAGAGCCAAGAGGTAAGACAGAAACCTGGGAGCAGTGGCCTCAGGTGAGGGGAGGGGAAAAGCAGGCTCAGGGCAGAGGGAGCTATGGACCAGCTCTGGGGGAAAGCTCTTTTCTCAACCAGGGGGAGGCAGCTATGCTGAGCTATCATGAGGGGCACCCGGCTTCCACCCCCATCCTCTCACCTCAGCTTCTGGATCCCCCGGCAGGCAGCCCTTCTGGACACTGCATGGTCACAGGAGCAGCCCTCTGGCCCATAATGACGACTCTCTCTTCCCAGGTGGCCATCCGGGCCCACAGGTACACCCTGGCATTGCCCCCCAATTGGAGTAGGGGTGATGGTATCCTGGACTTAAAAGGTCCACAGGAGGGCAGCCTGGGAGCCTTGGGGAACCTGGGACATTGGCCCAATAATGACATCCTGGGTGCTAAGGGCAGTGAAGCTGTGTATGGACACCCCTGAACCATTTGCCTCTCTCCTTTTTTAGGCAATGGGTGAAGGTGATACCTAGCATGGCTTACTGCACCTTCCTACTGGCGGTTGGCCTGTCCAGGATCTTCCTCTTAGCACACTTCCCTCACCAGGTTTTGGGTGGCCTCATAACTGGTAAGCAACTGGGTAGCAGGGTAGACCCAGAGGGCACTGCTGGCTGGACCAGCGTGGAATCTTCCCATTGTGCAGCCTCAACCCCCTCCCTAGGTCTCAGTCCGTTCTACTGCCAATCTGCACTGCAGTTCAGGAGGGGCCATATCCCAAACTCCTTAAGCTACTATCACCCCACTCCCCTAGGTGCTGTTCTGGGCTGGCTGATGTCCCCCCGGGTTCCTATGGAGCGGGAGCTAAGCTTCTACGGGTTGACCTCACTGGCTCTTTTGCTGGGTGCCAGCCTCATCTATTGGACCCTCTTCACACTGGGCCTCGATCTTTCTTGGTAAGTCCTGCTTTGAAGCTTGCACAGGCTAAGGCCTGTCCTGCCTCACCCATAGCTAGTCTAATGGAGCTCTAGTCTGTTGTAGCAAAGAAGGGATACATTACCTGTTCACAAAGGTAGACTCTGCTGGAATCACAGCACAACATGGGGGAGGTCCCAAAGGAGCTGAAAGCAATCCCCTGGTAGGTTCCAGGGGAACATCCCTCCTGGCAAAGACCCCTCCTTTCCACAGGTCCATCAACCTAGCCTCCAAGTGGTGTGAGCGGCCTGAGTGGGTGCATGTGGACAGCAGACCCTTTGCCTCCCTGAGCCGTGATTCAGGGGCTGCCCTGGGTTTGGGCATCGCCCTGCACTCGCCCTGCTATGCCCAGATACGGCGGGCATACCTGGGAAATGGCCAAAAGATAACCTGCTTTGTGCTGGCTATGGGGCTGCTGGGCCCCCTGGACTGGCTGGGCCACCCCCCTCAGATCAGCCTTTTCTATATCTTCAATTTCCTCAAGTATACCCTCTGGCCATGCCTGGTCCTGGCCCTGGTGCCCTGGGTGGTACACACATTCAGTGCCCAAGAAGCACCCCCCATTCGCTCTTCCTAACTTCAGATGCCACTTTTCCTTCCCAAAAGCCAAGTCCGCAATTGCCACACTCCAGGAGGCAGACCCACCCCTCCAGCTCCCAACAGACCCAGTTCATTTGAAGTCCCCTCTTCTCCCACCACCTGATTTTAGCCCCAGCAATGCTGGTCCTCCTGCCTTCCCTCCCAAGTCCCCAAGGAACAAAAGCAAAACCAGTGGGTTCCTGCAGTACCGAGTGGCCCAATAAAGCCCTTGAACACTTGTGGGTTTCTTTCATGCCTGTATGCGCATATCCACTGAACCTGCCTGTGTGTGGCACCCTTGCCAGGCTGCCTACACAGCACCCTGTTTCCACAGAGCAGAGTCCAAGGGAAAGGGGATGACTGCAAATTCAGTGAGACTTTCAGCCCTGGGGCCCTCCCCACCACCACCACCTCAGCCATGCGACTGGCCCCATGGGACAGTTACAGTCAGTGTGAGCTGTCTTTCACCTACAGGCAGCGCTGCGTCCCACTATCGCCTCCTGCTTCCTAAATTGGCTAGTTCAGGAGCCGGAGAAACAAAGAACAGGTTGGTTTTTGGGGCTAGGAAGGCAAATGAGAACCTGTATTCCATTTGGGAGCCCAGAGAACAGAGACGTTGGCCCCAGAAGCCACTGCCAGAAACAAGTTTATTTACACAAGGACACACAGTGTAACAGGTTACAAAATACTTAACTGAAATCCATATCCAGGGGAACAAAGCAAGGAGTGGGTTTACATGAGATCCAGACCAGCCATGGGGAGAGGGAGGGCAAGGGGCCTGGAGCTGGGGCTCAGCATGGGGAGGCCTGGTACACTGGGCCCCATCCCTATCCCCCAGGAGAATCTAGAACATACAACACACAAGACACAAGCGCACAATGAACCGATGGTGGTGGGACTCCTGCCCCTCCCCTGGCTCCCTCAACCCTGCTCAGGCCCCCGTTAGGATAATAAATATGTAAACAGATTGGTGGGGCCCTGGGGATGGAAGAAAGGAAGTGTGTGTAGTGCTGGGAAGGAGGAGGAAGACTCAGCCCTTAGGAGCCGCTTCCCATCTTTGGTTTCCTACAGGCTGGACAGCATTTCCTTAGAAGCCTAGTGGGCCCCAGCCCTGGAATCGGGGCTCAGTGGGGCTCCTAGGACAGAGAAAGGGCAGTGCCCAGCCCCCTCCTGGTCTTAGTTCCCTTGGGCTGCTGGCCAGCAAAGGGAGCCCAGGAGGAAGGGAAGCTCTAGCTGAGGGCAGACTCCTGAGTTCCTGGGTTTGACCCTGCCCCTGTAGAACTGGACCCCTCACTATCCCCAGGCTTCAAAGCAAAAGGCCTCAGGAGGGAGGTGGGCTACTGCCCCATCTACTTGCAGCATGCTGGATGGCTGGGGAAATCTGGTCCTGAGCAGCAGGGGGGCTCTCACCAGCCTGGAGCCCCCCTGCAGGGACCACCTTCTCCCCCTCCCCAACGCCTGCGAGCAGAGGGGCAGGGAAGCCAACAGAGTACGGTGGAGAGCAGGCCTGGTTCTGCAGCTCCTCCGAGGCCTTCCCCACAGACTTCATTCTCCAGCCCTGGGAAGGGGAGACAGACCCTGAGGAGTATGCGGCAAGAGAGCCCTGCCCACAGACCTCAGGCCCACGTCCTAGGGCACAAGAGTCCCCCTCAGCGCTGGGGCCAGGAGGAAAGAGCGGGAAGGGGCCTGCAGAGATGGAGAGAACAACTGAGGGAGCCAAGGGCAGAGAACTGCAGGGTGGGAGCTCACCTCCCCACCACTCTACATCTACTGTAGAGGGGCCCTTGGGATCCTCCCTAAGGCTGGAGTGGGGAGGAGGGTGAAATTAAGGCAATGCCCCCCAAGTCGGCTGAAGCCAAGGCACCAAACACTGTTCTCACAGAGACCCAAGAACCAGAAGGTACAACCTAGGCCCCCGTGCTTACCCTCAGCTAGCCTAGGCTCCAAGGGGGAAAAGGACAGGATGCGGGTAGTGGGTGTGGGGCTCAACATGGGGGAGGGGAAGGGGACCCCCTACACCCTACAGAGAGAGCAAAGTTCTATAGCTGAGATGTGGGCCACGGAAAGGGGGGCCTGAGGCAGCTTAAAGGAGCAGGAGGGGCGAGGCTGAGAGACCCACACAGCACACGTTGTTGAATGTGTGACTTTTTGTTTTTAATAGAAAAAATAAACAAAATCACAATGATGAAGCCCAGAGGGATGGGGGCCAGGGTGTCACAGGGCAGGCTCCTGCTCCATGGGCTCCTCTGCTGGCCTGTAGGGACAAGCACAGGGAAGGGCACTGAGCAGGAAGGGGGTGTACTGGCTGGGGCCGGGGCAGAGAGGTGGGAGGGACCTTACCTGGGGCTGTGCTCCCGGGCTGCAGCAGCTTGGGCCTGCTCGGCCCCCACCGAGAGCAAGGCCATGGCGCTCACAGTCTCGGCCTCCTCCGTCTCACCTGCCTGGGCCTCCCGCAGAGAACGGCCTAAACCAGCAGCAAACCTCTGCACACAGCTCCAGTGTTTGCCTGGAGAAGTCAGGCGGTCAGGGTGGACGGAAACGCCCAGATGTCCATCCCCAATCCTGGCATTCCCTCATGCTCCGCCCCCTCAGCACGCAGAGGCCTAAGCCCCTCTGCCAGTCCCCACGCACTCTGGATCTCGATGACTTTCTCTAGCGTGGCCACTGCATTCACGTTGGGCTTTTGCTGCAAGACTGCCTCATCCAAGGGCTGCAGCTGGCAGGAGAAAGAAGAGAAGGCTTAGGGTGGAAAGTGGGTGGCAGTGCCCCTCTAACCATCCCCACTCAGCTCCAGACATCACTTGCAATGGAAAACCAGCCTTCCTGCAGGAAGCCCTACTCAGAAGGGCCTCCCCAGCCATCCACTGTCCTTAGGACCCAGGAAAACCTTGCTAAGGGCATTTAGTGCTGCCTGACCCAGAAAGGGGCTCTCCCTTGCTGCCCCTCACCCACTGGCTTTCTGTCCTTCCCCAATGCTCCTTTCCCCCTCACCTCCACGCTGAGCAGAGCTGATACACAGGCCTCAGAGGCATCACAGATGGCGGTCAAGTCATGGCCTCCCTCCAGGGCCAGCACCACCCGGCCCCCTGCCAGCGTCATCAGCTGCCTGGTCAAGTGGCCAAAACCTTTGGGGATGGGTAAAAGGAGGAGGATGGAATGGTTAAAACCCAAACATTCAAGAGAAGGAAAGAGAAAAATGTAGAAGGTGAGACAAATAGCACAAAATAAGATGGCAGATTTAAACTCAAATACATTTCCATAAAATTCAATCAATGGACTAAATATCACACGAAAGACAAAATGTAATAGACAGGCTCTAAAAAGTCCCACCGAGTGTTTTCTAAGGGACACCATTGCAACCTGAGGGCCCAAGCTCCCTCTGTGACCTGAGGAGGAGACACACCCTCCACTAGCCCACCCACACCTGCCGGCCCCTCAAGGCCAAGGTTGGTGGAGGGGCACTGCCAGGATGATCCCAAGTGTTGGACCTGCCCCCAATGCCCGAAAGATCAGTCTATTCCTGCTCCACGGCCCCGCCCAACCCCATCCTCACTGTCCACGGCGTCCCTCGATCCCCTGGCAGGCTCACATCTAGCGGTGACAGAGTAGCCACCCAGCGGAGACAGGTGTCCCTCAACAGCATCAAACCCGGCGGAGACTAGGACCACATCAGGTGAGAACTCGTGGGCAATGGGCATCACCACTGTCCTGCAAAGGGATGGCCCAAGCTGACCTCGGCCGGCGGCCAGGCCTCACTGCACTCTGCGTGCCCCTCCCCCCCAAGACAAGCCCTTCCGCCCAGAAGAACTGAGTGCCTCTACCCTTCCCGTGACAGGGCCCAGAGGGGAGTGGGGGCGCTCCCACCCTGCCCTTGGCCCTTCTCAGTCCCCACCTGAAGGCCGTTAGGTATTCCACGTCTCCGATGGGGGGGTCCACACCTCCCGTCCATGCCACGTTCACATTGTACCCCATGCCCGGCCCTCCGCCAACCTGGCACCAGGGTGGGGGAGGGGTTATTCTCACTGCCTGGGGATCCCCAGCATTGCCCCCCACAGCCCCTCTTCCAGCCCTTACTCCACTGGCCTCTACTCTACCTGGAGGGGCAGTGAACTCCCCAGATCCCAGTACCACCACAGGCCTCTGGGGCTCCCTGCCAGGTCCCATTCTGCTACCTCCCCGAGGGGCCCTGAGTTTGAGCTCGGGAGCTGTACCTCTTCCGGAGCCCCAGAGCCTGGAAAGAAGTTCCCGTTGTCATAGCGATGCAGGGAGATATAGAGCACAGAGGGGTCGTGGTAGAAGGCCTGCTGGGTGCCATTGCCATGGTGAATGTCCTAGAGGGGAGGGGTAAGCATCAGGAAGATAGCCCAGGCTCTGGCCCCAAGGTCGCATTCCCACTTGCCCACTACCCCTACCCTACGGTGAGCTCTGGGACGCAGCCACCACTAGCCGCAGGATGTCTGTTTCCGTTCACAACATCAGCCCACGCCTCTCTAGCCGGGGTCTGCGGGCCTGGGATGTGACACCACCGCACAGGGGAGACGCAAAGCCACAGCAGCCCTCCCTGCAGAGCCCACTCCACTCACGGTGTGGAGGGAACATGAAAGCGAGTAAGGAGTTGAAAATAAACAACATATTCTGAAGAAGAATTCAACATTTACATAAATTTTTAAGCCAAAGTTGGGCTTCAGAGAGAGTTCCTCCTTGCTGAGGAGTGCTCCTGCTACTTCCCCAGCTCACTGGGAGTGCTGGTGCCTTTCCCTCTGCCATGAGAGGCAGGGTTTGAGAAGCACTGTGTAGGAGCAAGAGCAGAGTGTCGGAGCCAAAAAGGCCTGACCTGAGCCCAGTGCCAACATTCCCAGCTAAGCGACCTGGGTTGGGTCAGCCATGCAACAACTCAAGTGCCTCTGCTCAAGGAAATGGACACCTTAGTTCTCCAAGTGGCCGTGAGCAACACCATGTGTCAAATACTAATCCAGTCCTGGCACATGGTCGGCCCCAGTGGAGAATGGTCTAGCAATGGAGGTAATGGCAAGGTTGGCAGTCCCCACAGCTGCTTGAGGCTGCAAGGTGGGGGCCAAGAGGTACCAGGGCTAAAACCACTTTCGAGTCTCCCCTCGTGAGGAGGGCGCTCTTGGGGGATGTGAGGGTAGAGCTAAGGCTCTGGCAGGAGGATTCTGGTAAATCATCAGGCCCAGTGCCAGCAGGTGCCTGAGGAAGAGGTCTGGAGGTCAGGTTGGGGAGGGAGCTTCAGAAGGCTGACCCTGGCCCCACCAGCCCACTGCTTACCCAGTCCACGATGAGAACCTTCCCCACGTTCAGCTTCTGCTGCAGGAGTTTGGTTGTGATGGCTACAGAGTTAAAGAAGCAGAATCCCCTGGGGGTGTAGGGAGAGAGGGGCAGAGGGTTAGTGTTACAGGACCGTGTGCTCAGGAGCTCAGCTGGGAGGGAGAAGAGGGAAGGCAGTGACTCTGCAGGGTGGGAGCCACTCACATGGCTGTGGATTCCTCAGCATGGTGTCCTGGGGGTCGGATGATGGCAAATCCATTCTGAAGAGATACAGACAGCAAGGCAGGAGGACCACAGCAGGGTGGACACAGAAGGTGAGAAGCATAGACCAGGGATGAGAACACAGAAAGCACAGGATGTCCCACACACCCTTACAGATGTGTGCAGGCCACATGGGCAGGCAGATACTTCTGGCCCCAAGACACCCTGAGAGCACTGGATACCAGTGCCTCTGTTGATCCCTCTTCACCCCTCTGCCCTGAGCTGGCCCAGCCCCGTCTGTTACCACCACCCCACTCTGGTGCCTTAGAGTTAAAGCTGCAAAGGACAGTGCCTCACTGAAGGGAAGGCCAAGGCTGCCCTTGTCTTCCACTCCTAGGGATGCAGGGCAAGGTCAAGCTGTGCCTAGGTTCCTGGTACACACACACCTTGAGCTCCCCCGCTGCCACCTTGAAGGCCAGCTCCACCAGGCAGCCCACTGCCATGCGCACGGCACTGGAGGAGTGCATCTCGTTCCACACAGTGTCACTGTCCACCTGCAGGGGCAGGGAGCAGGCTTCAGCATGCCCCCTGTAGGGGGAGGGCAAGAAGGGGGTGGGCACCTGGATAGTGGGCCAGAGCCATGGGGGACAGGAAGGGAGGGCCCGGTGCTGGGAGAGCCACCTGACCCCCGCTGGCAGGTACCCTACTCACCCCTATGCCCCCACAAGGCAGCATGGCGTACATCTTCTGGCTAATGGGGCCTGCAGGGAAGAAGGACAGAGCTACTTTGGAAATTGCCTCAACTGCCAGGGCTACAGTTTGGGGTCTGCAGCAGGCAGTGAGCTCAGTCTCAGAAAAAGAAAGCCAGCCTAAATGCGGGTCAGGCCTCTGCAGCCCTGTTGTGGAGAGACGTCCAACCTTGGCCAGATGGCAGGTTGGGAAGAACAACAAAGCTCTCCCCCATCACCAATCCTGAGTTGTCACCTTTCCTCCCCCTGCAATGCACCCCACCAGCATGCTCTGTTCTTGTCGAGTTCTACGTGAATGGCACCCCTGGCCCTTGGCCTTGGCCCTCCTCAGGCCCCAGCTGAAGGTTAAGTATTCTAGTCTGGGTCCTCCTCCCCACATCCATACACAATCTGGCAACTATGCCACCTCTGCCAATGGGATGACCTGCACTCATGGACCCACCTACCTACCCTGGTTGGGCAGCCTTCCTGACAGGCCCTTATCCTACCTGGCAGGACATGGCCTGGCCCATACCCTGCCATGGGCCTGCCAGCTCACCAAGCAGCTTCTTGCTGTCCAGCTTCTGTCGGTTGAGGGGGCTGGTCCCGTAAAGCAGGGTGTGGTACTCGGAGTGAACAGTCTGGATCTCGTCCAGTGTGGCTTTGCGACCCCGGATCCGCTGCCAGGTGCAGGCAGGAGGAGAAGCCAGTAAGGGGGTGGCCCTGAAGACCTAGCTCTCCCCACTGCCGAGATCCTCCCTCTGCCCCACAGCCTTTCTGGCCTTGGGAGATGCAAGGATTTTTTAAGAAAGTATTTCCTGGGCCCCCAGGGACCCAGTCCAGGACCCGCCCCCATCCAACTGGGACCATGGGGGGACGTAGGCTATAAGGCATAAAACTGAAAGGTCACTGGGGGGATTGGCCCTGAGATGAGGGGTTGAAGAGAGGACAGGAAGAGATGCTGAGTGGCTCTACTGGCAGAGGAGATACAACAGCTTTCAGTGGGTTTGAGTTGGGGGGTGCTGGAGGCAAGAGGGGCTCCCTTACCTCACACTTGCTAAGCAGACCCGTCTCCTGCAGCCGGGACCAGATGCTCTGGATCCGACCAGCATGCTCGGGGTGCACATGCGTGTTCCCACACATGCACTGATGCTTCAGCATGAATGTGTCGTAGACCACACCTGGGCCGAGGGGAATGCCTGTCAGCCAGCACTGCTCCAGGCCCACATGCAGCCTAACCCCATAGCCTGCAGCCCACTGAGCCCTCCCCAGCTCGCCCGACCCAAGTCCTACCTCATGGCCACCTGGCCACCCCACAGCCTGCCTCCTGAAATTCCTTTCTTCCATTATTGCTTGTCCAAAATTCCTCTGCTCCTCAAACCTCAACAAAGCTGCCCTTGATAGCCCTACTGTTTTTGATTTCTGCCATGTTCCCAACACTATCCCCCAGCCACATACAGCCTTTCCATAGTTCCCCATCCTGTCACAGCCCACGTGCTCCTCCACACACCCTGCCTGTGAGACATGACCCCCCTCAGTCATCTGTGGCCCTCAGAGCCCAGCCTAGGTAGCTTCATGCAGAGCTTTCTGGAACAAATGGAGGCCTTACTCTTGACCTCACAGGGGAAAGGAAGGAAGCTAGAAGGGCAGAACCCAAATGAGAGAGTGGGCTCTCTCCACCCAGGGCTTATGTGGTGATGGTGCAGAAAGAAGCAGGTGGTCCTCTGCAATGATGGGGGTGGGAGCCCCCAGAAAGATGGTGGGTAGGGACAGGGCACTCATCACCCTCACAGCGGAGGCAGAGGCTCCCATGGGTGGCGAAGGGGCACAGGGAGAGAACTAGACCCACTTAACTGCCTCAGGGTGCTCTCAGAGGCAGCATTCCCCTCAGAGGCAGCTAAGCCCCTCACACTGCCCATAGGGATGCCATGCACAAACCCCTGATGCATGATGGGAGGATAAACCGAGGTAATGGGACTCACCTGTGGTGAAGAGGTGTTTGGTGGGCTGGTCTGGGGGGCTCTTCATGCCCCCAGGGGCAGCAGGTGAGGACTGGGTACGGCCCAGAGCCTGGTGGGGCACGGTGGCCAGGCTAAGTGGAGCCTGGTACACTTGCAGAGGCTGCAGCTGCTGGGCTTCTGAGAATACCTGGGTGGGAAGAGCGTGGGAGGGAGCCTGGATGAGGCTGAGCCTGAGAAGGAAGCGAGGACAGGTGCCCTGGCCCCTCCAGGGGGCCCCAATCCAGTCCTTTTCTTCCAAACCTCCTCCTTCCCCCACCTCCTTTCTCAGGGGACCAAAGGCTGAGCCTAGCCATCTTCAAGAGGAGATTAGTGGGGGGACGTGATGAGTCACACCAGAGTAGCATTGAGGTAAGAGGCTGGGAGGGACAGGGGGTGTGGGAGGGGGCGGGATGAGTCAGGCCTGGAGGGCTCTGCTGTGTCCGCAATGAATGGATGTGCGCTAGGTGCAGGGCAGACTGTAGTAACAGTGGGTGTGTGTGTATATACGCAGAAGCACGCAGAGACCGACGCACAACCGGCCCTACGCAGGCAGAAACGCAGATACACACAGGCCACGTGCGCGTGAATGCACACACACACACACACACACATATACACATACACACACAAGCAGACAGGCGGGGGCAGTCACAGACGCAGGGAGGGACTGGCAGACTGGAGCTCAGGCAGCGAGACCCACACAAGCAGCTCCCCACACCCCAGCCCCTTGCCTCTCTCCTACTCCCCTCTGCCTAGAAAGAAAGCTGCTCCTACATGGCAAGAAACTGAAGGGGGGGAGGGGAGGCCAGAGGGGTGGTGACTTGGGGGGAGGGAGGGGGGCAGAAGGCACCTTTTTGTAAGCAGAGCTGGAATCCTCCAAGTCAGGCCCCTCCTCAGTGCCACTCTCGCCCTCCTCGTCCTTGACCTGGATGCAGTCCTCCTCCTCTTCCTCCTCCTCCTCCTCCTCCTCCTCCTCTTCCAGATCTTCCTGTGTGCTCTCACTCTCTGTGGAGCCTTCTCGGGGTATGGTCAAAGCTCCCTCCCCCAGTAAGGCCTCTTGTTGCTCAGTGAGCTCCTCCTCTGTCTCCTCCGGGTGGGTGGTAGGCTGCCGAGACAGCTCCCCTGTCTTAGTGAGGATCTGTGAGTAGAAGAGAGGGGGCACATCAGATGGTGCGGGGCCAGCATGCAGCCTGGGACCTAAGAGGTTACACCCTTCCCCTCCCTCTCCTAGCAGCTGCCAGCCCAGGCAGAGCTTCTACTTGAGTTAGAAAAAGACAACTCCACTCCTCTGAGCAGATGTAATCAGGGAGTAGCCTGGGGTATCAGCCCTCACTCCCTTCCTGCTAGCCAGGTGCCCCGTGTGTGTGCCCCCAGCACAGCCATCACCTTTTGCTTCCCCCGGCTCACCTTGCCCAGCTGCAGCTGCTGCTGCTTCTGCTTCTCCAGGAACTGCTGGTGCTGCTGCTGCATAACCAGCTGCTGCAGGGCCTGGGGGCTCTGGGGTAGTGGCGAGGACTGAGTGCGGCTCAGGGGCCGGTGCCGCGGGAGCTTGCCCACCGTCCGCATGCTGGTGGCCAGGCGTTCACCGGTCACCAGTGGGGACTGGCCATGGAGCGGCACTGTGGTGGGTGGGAGAAGAGTAATCATCATTCGTCAGGGTACCAGGTCACCCCACCCCTGGTCACCCCACCCTGGTCGACCCTGACTCTCCTCCCCCTGGAACTGCTACCTACATACTCAGGAAAAGTTTTGGGAAGGCCTGGAGCACTATGGCCCCAAACCTGAGCCCTATCCCCCCTCCTTCCCAAAACTTAGCAGTCTCAAAGCTCAGAGCCACTGCCTCCAGCAAGCCTTCCTGGATTAACCATCCTCTCCCTTTGATGCACTTATGATTACACATAAAAACTCAGGCCCTTCATGTGAATGAGCAGCAACTAGTTCTCCCAGCTGAACAAGATCTTCCTGATCTCGGCCTGGGGACCAGGATCATACATCTTTTATGCAGTCCCTCTTCTGATGCTACTTAAGGGACTGACTCTCCAAAATTATCCTGACCAATCCCACAGCTCCCAGCCACATGTGACGACTGAGTGCTTCAAACGTGGCCTGTCTAAACTGAGAAGTGCTCTAGGAAAAACACACCAGATTACACGGACATCACGAAACACAAAGTAGATTATCTTACCTATAGCTCTGTGTTGACTCTACCTTGAAATAAAACCCACTGATATAAAGAGCTAAATACATTTTATTAAATATAATTTCACCTGTTTCTCTTTACATTTTAAAGTTTACTAGAAAATTTTAAATTACATCTACAGTTGGTGTTGGATTGCTACTAGACAGCACTGCTCTGGAACATGAGCTCCAGGAAGGCGGCAGACTCTGTGGAGGGCAGCGCTGGACATGCTGAGAGGAAGGCGGGCAATCAGGGTGCCTGTGACAGGGCCGGAGGGTATCCCTGGCTGTTTCTCCTCAATGGGCCTTGCCTCAATCCCCCAAAAGAGGAGACTGCCGCTCCTCCCTCCAACAGCTCCCAGCCACTCACCTGCAATGAGGGTGCTCTGCTGCCGGGCCTGCTCCAGCAGCAGCACGTGCTGCAGCAGGGAGGCGTGCCCATGGGGGCTGGTGTCACCCTCCAGTGCCACGCCTAGCAGGCAGCCAGGGATGGAAGACGTGCTCATGAACTTGCCCGTCAGTGCGCCACCCTGCCGCAGGGACTGGAGGGCCTGCCTCTCGGCCTCCTGCTGCGTCGACAGCTTCGGGGAGGCCTGAGGAGTTAGGAAGGCAATGGAGATAAAGGAGGGGCATAAACTGCCCCCAGTCCCACCAACTCTGGATCAGCATCCCTCGTCTACCCTCTGCCCATCAGGCACTCCGAGCAGAGCCCTCTGATCTCATCTCCTTTGGGGCTTTGGGGAAGCAAAAGTTCCAGTGGGGGCATCCAGGACTGATGACCGTGACACCAGAGGGAGAACGGCCTCCTGCCCCGTACTTACGGTGAGGTGCGAGTTGGTGACAGTGACCGTGGCCTGCAGCCCTAGGGAGATGTTGGGCAGAGAGGGAGACGTGTAGAGGCTGAACTGGTTGGGGGAGCTGTCCAGAGGGAGGGCCCGGTGCTGGGGGAGCATCTGGGGAGCAGTCGGGAGAGACAGGCATGAGAGCGAGTAAAGGGGGGCTACCTTGGGCCAAGGACAGGCTCTGAATGGTGCCCCGCTCCTCCCCAACAAAACCCCATCTTGGAGGAGGGGTGAGTACTGAATGTTCAGAGCCCTTCAGAAGCCCACGGGACAAATCCCACTTTAGGGCTAAAGGTCCCTCTAGCCTGTGCAGCAGCAGAGAGGTCCCTGTGGACACTTTTAGGGAGACAGACTGGAAGAAGCTGCCCTCCTTCTTCCAAGGGAAAGGGAGCAGCTCTGGCCCACCCAGCCCAGCCCTACAGCCTGTACCTCGGTTGGGATGTTGGGGACTGAGCCAGTAAAGCCATTCTCAGCAATGGTGCTGTGAGAGCTGTTGGGGGAGCTGGGGCCGGAACCAGGTGCGCTGTTACACACAGATGACACTACGGGAGAAGTGGCTGTCACCTGGGCTTGCTTGGAGCCACCCCCCACTCTCAGGTCCTCAGAACAGGGATGGGAAAGGAGACCTTACCCCCAGGGCCAGCGCCTGTGATCTCAACAGCTCTCTTCTTGAAGGTGCTAATGACAGTCCCATCCTTCCGACGCAGAAGGGGACTGCTTCTTCGCTCCGCCACCTTCTGCTTTAGCCTCGAACGCACTTTCAAGTTGGGCTCAGAGGCTAGGGAAAAGGTAGCTGGGGCTCAGACCCATCCACCTGCAGCCCAGCCCTGGGAAAGACCCACCTTCCAGCAGCAGCCTTGCCCAAGGAATGTGCCCACCTCCATGGAGCCAGAGCCCCGGAGCTGGGAGGCTGGGCCGGCCCTCACTCACCTGTTTTGCGGAGGGGGAAGTCATCTCGGCTGTCATAGGGCCCAAGCAAAGGCAGTTTATAGGAGGGAGGCGTCCCAGGGGGGCCGCTCTGGGGAGGGGAACTCTGGTCCAAAGAAGCATGGTGGGCTCCCCTGAGGGTAAGGGATAGAGATGGAAACAGATCTAGGTTATCACCCAGCCAGTGGACCTGCCACCCGGCCAGATACATTTATGAAATATCTGCTGATTGTAAGGATAGGAGAGGGGCCCCAGGGAAGGAAGCAGAGAGCCCCCAGGGGTGGGAGCCTCATCTCCTAAGAGAGACTGCAGGATCTGTATCAGGCTACAGGGAGGATCCCCGTGCCATCTGGCAGTCATGGAGACCTGGAGCAGGAGACTGCTGCGACCCACGCCTGCCCGGGGACACTACCAGCATTTGGGATGCTGTGGGAGGGAATGGTTGAGGCCGCCGGGCGTGGGCTCCTTTGACTTCGACAGGAGGAATTCCTGGAGCCTCAGCTTCACCTCAGTGCTGGCGATGGCACCTGCAGGATAGGGTACAGCTGACCCGTGTGCTTGGGGCCAGAAGCCCACTGCCTGGGGGAGGGGAGGAGGCCAGGGCCATCTGGCCCCAGAAGCCCCCAGCCTTACTCTCTTTGCTCTTCTCCTTGTTCCGCAGGATGAGCAGCTGCTGTTCCAGCCTCTGCTTCTCCAGCTCCTCCTGCCGCTGCTGCTCCCGCTGCCGCTGCTGCTCCAGCTCCTGCTGCCTCTTGGCTGCCAGCATCTCCTGCTGCTGCTGCAGGGTGCAGGGGGAGGGAAGCGGGGTGAGCCAGGTCCGGGCGGGGGTCAGAGGTCTGGGTGGCCCCCCCGCACCCCCCTCGCTCACCTTGAGGTGCTTCTGCAGCTGGACCTCATGTTGCCGAGTCAGGTGGTCATGCTGTTTCTGGAACTCAGCAAACAGGAGCTGCTTCTGCAGCTGCTGCTGCTGCTTGAGCGCCAGAAGCTCCTGCTGCAGTTGCTGCTCCCTAAGCGCGGGGTCCACAGAGCCTGCCAGAGCACCCCGCAGCTCCACGGGGCTGGGACTGCCTCCACCCCCGCCCCCCATGGAGCTGGGCATGGTTCCTGGCAGCACAGGCTTCACCTCCACTGTGGGAAGAAGAAACAGAAAGGGGTCAGTGGGCCCAATCGCAGACCCCACTAGGCATGGGAAAGTCATGCCCGGGGCCCAGAAAGCTACCAGGTAGGACTACTAGACCCCCAGAGAGGAGACGTCCAGTCTCTGCTCCATAGATGCAGCCTCCTTAATTAAGGTCATAGCCAGGAACTTCAGTAACAAATGATGTAGAAGCATGAAGGACAATACCTGGAAGGCTGAGTGCTCCAGACGTGATCTCGTCATTGACAGTTACCTCCACTGGGCATTTTATGGGAATTACTTTACCAATAAGGAAAGCGACGTTTAAGGAGAGTAAAGTAACTGACCTGAGACACACAGCCAAGTGACAACGAGGAGGGAAAACAAATCCTATGATGTAACCACTGTCCTGTGCCCCCCTCCCCACCTCTCAACACCCCACACACCCCAACGAGCAGCCTAAATAAACTAGAAGCGAAATGAAGCACACAGCTGGTTTCCAGGACTGGCAGGACCGGCAGCCCAAGCCCTCTGGCAGCCCAGGAGCGGCGCTTGGGGAACGGCTGAACATTCTGCCCTCTCCCCTTTCCTCTGTCCCGTACCCGGCTGGGGCAGAAGGGGCAAGAGCGAGGGGCTGTGAGAATGGGGGCAGGAAGTGTGAGAGGAGGAGGCCCCCGGGAAAGGGGTGCAGGGCTACACCAGGAGGGACAGGAGGGGGCTGGGAGTCAGACTCACTTCCTTTGCAGGATTATCTCCTTTCAACAGTTTTATTGTAATTACCCTGAAAATGCCGCTATATATAGAGAGAGCCAAACAGCAGCTGTGCGGGGGGAGGGGGAATGAGAGAATGGGCGGCAGGCGCGGGGAGGAGGTAGAGGAGGAGACAGGAAAGGAAAGGGAATCAGACAGGAAGAAGGGTAAGGTGGGAGGGGGCACGGGAGCTAAGGCAGATATCTCAGAACTCCAGTCCGAGAGAAAGTCCTCTGGGAAGGGCTGGAGGCGTCCGCTGGGTCCTCATTCCTTGTGTCCAGGTCCCCAAGTGGATATGGACTGACCAAGCGGGGGGCGGCAGAAAGTTTCAATGGGCTTTGGGAAAGGCTGGGTCTTGACCTCTTCTTGATCCCTAGATACTGTCCTCTGGTCACTGAATGTCACTCCCTACCACTCCCCAGTGGTTGCCAGGGCAACGGGGCAAATGCCAAGCCAGCAGGGAGCCCCAAGCCCAGCTCACACCCCACAAAGCCTCCTGACACCAGCAGGAAGGGGAGGGCAGGCTACCCACCTCCTGGGAAGGAGGAAGTGAGAGATGGGGCCTACCCATCTTGTTCTTTCCCATTTCTTTCTCCAAAGCAAGCTCTCTTTCCTTATGACACCCCAGGGAGGTAGCAGGGTCTGGAGAAGGAAGGATCTCCTCTTCCTGATGGTACCAGTGTCTCCTGCTGAAGAGTGGGTCTCTACCAGACCCCTTCCACTGTTCCTCATCAGGAGTAGAGGAGGAGCTGGGGTGGGGGGTGACTAATGGCTGAGCTACAAAAGCCCCCCCACCCCGCCAATGTAGTCTATGGGCCTGGATCTCTCTAGGGAACCTACACTGAATGTCACCAAGGCGGGGGCCTGAACGCTCTTCTGGGCCCCACTGGAGGTAGAGGCGGAAAGGTAAAACCTGAACAGGATCTCTCATCCCCACCAGCCCCTTCTCACTGAGCACAGCTAGACACATTCCTCTGTGGTTTGCCCGCCAGCCACACTGACGACTCTGCGGCCACGAGGCTAGAGCCACATCTGCAAGAGTGGCCAGATGTGGCTAGAAGGGTGGGGTTAAAAACACACACACACACACACACTCACTCACTCACTCTCTCTCTCTCTCTTCCTTCCCAACCCCTGTTCTGCCCTGGCACCAGGAAGAAGGGCCTTGGAAACCACAGAGGGCTTTTCTGAAGATGGCCAACCTCATTCCAGGCTGCAAAAAGCAGGGTGGCAGCAAAGAGCCAGCAGTCAGCCTCGGGTCTCCCCAGCCTTGGAAAGGCTCAGCAGGGCCCCAAGCTGGCTGAAAAGTTATCTGTTCTAAGCAAGGCTGGGTTGGCCCATGGCACTCTGATCACTCAGCCAAGAGGTGGACGGGCTTCAACCTGCTGCTCCCAGCAGTGCCGGGGCTGTGGGAGCCGGATGTCAGCCCGCCCAGGGAAGGGCAGGGGTCCAAGCACTCCTGGCTCCCAGCATATAACCATGCCTAGGGCTGGAACTGCCGCCAGCTGTGCTGGCTTCACTTGCAAAAGAGCCCTGCCTTAAGAGTCAGGCGAGGGAAATCACCCACCAGGGCTCCCATGGAGCCACTGCACCACAGCAGAGATGCTAGGTCCTGCACTGCAGCGGAGCCGCAGCCCCATTGGTATGCAGGCTAAGGGGTAGCCAGCAGCACTGCCATACAGCTGTGTTTCCATATAAGCAGGAAGCAAAGGCGACTGGAGAATATTAATCTGCAGGTCCTCCAGGACCTGGACAGGATGCAGCACGCTAGGGTTGTGCCAGGTAACAATCTGGTTCCAGCCAGGAGGGAAGGGGCCATGAGTGAGCAGGTAGCTAGAGTCAGGGGAATGGGGGCAGGAGGAGAGGGTGTCAAGGAACTCCTAGCATCTGGCTGGCCTTGCACCCCCTCGAGGATCGTGCCCTGGGCCCCAAGATCTGCTCTGCCAGCTTGGCATAAGCAAAGCAGGTAGCAGTGACTGCCATCAAAATGAAGCAACTGGAAAAGGAAGTGGGTGTGTCATAGAAATGGGAGGAGGAGGAGGCTCTCTTCCACCTCTTGGTGGACCAAAAAAGGTAGGAGGACTTCTGGAAAAGGAAGAGAATAGGCAGCGGGGCACTATTCCTTAAAAGTGGGAATGCCAGGGCCTCCCCGGTGGCGCAGCGGTTGAGCGCTGGGTTGGGAAGCTGCCGGCAGTCTCTGCAACGCCGGTTCAATCCCCGGCTGCTCCCCGGCTTCGGGAGGAGGGTCCCGCATGGCGCGCAGACCTCTCCTGCCGCCCGCTGCTCCCCTCAGCAGTGTACTTCAGTCCTTCTGCCTGCTCTGCTCCCTGCTCTGGCTCTGGTGAATTCTCTCTCCCTCCTGCGCTTCTAACTGTACCCAGTGCTTGTATGTATCAATCAATCAATAAATAAATAAATCTTTAAAAAAAAAAAAAAAAGTGGGAATGCCAGTTCGCAGAGACCCCTAAAAGGCCAGGGGAGGGGCGACATGAGAGGGCAAGGCCCTGGGTCCTGCCTACACCTCCACACCTCCTCTGACAGAGCACTGTAAGGGACTGAGAGAAGACTAGACACAGCAATCTCGTGCACAGGGAAGACGGAAGGGTCCAGGTCTACCCTGATCCACACTCCTTCTGGAAATGCAGGCCCTTGCCCCTGGGAGTGGTGGTCTTAGGAAGAACTAGGAGTGCCATCCTGTTCTGACCTGGGGGGTGAGCACAGAGGGGGTCCAGTCCAGGGAGCTATGTCTAGCCTTTGCACACATACTCAGCTCAAGAGATCGCCCGCTCTGCCCCACTCACAGGCACAACTGGAGAACAGTGACACCGTTATGACACTTCCTTCCCATCCGGCTGGCTTCCCACCTCACCAAGCCCCCATCAGTCCAATGCAGATTCCCCTAACAGATTTTCGGCACAGTACAACCAAGGATAATCTGGCCCCTGGGGGACGATGATGCAGTGCTGACGGGGCAAGCACTGGAATGACTGTCAGCATAGCCTGTGACTGAAGAGAGAGTGTCCAGGCCAAGGGGCACTGCCCCCAAGCAGACAAGGAACAGCACTTATGGGAGTAAGGGCTCAAAAAATAAACCCCACCAAAATCTAGTGTAGTTTTTTGCCCAAGAGCAAGCAAGGCCAAGCTTTCCTCCTGCTCTGCACATGTCAAAGCCGTGCCCAGAACCAAGCCCTCTCTTGGAGGAGTCACCGACTCCAGAATCCCTGTGACCCAAACCCAGGCAGCAGGGAAATGGTACTTTTAGCTCCTCCCAAGAAGCCCAGGAAGGAGGGGGCAGCAGTGTGTGGACTACTCTGCTGACCTAAGAAAGAAACTGCACTTGCTTTAACATGAAGGTGCTCCCAGGAGCCACCAGTCACAAAAGGCTGGAGGGAGGCCCCCCCAGGGGACCCAGAGGGCACACAGTATGAGGGAGGGAGCAGGAAGCTGCTGGGGTATCAACACAAGGTAAAAGCAGCTCTCAGGTCTGAGGGAGGAGAGTGGAAGGGCCTCGGAGATCACCTGTTCTGACCCCCTCGTTACCCAGACAGAAAGCCAAGCCTCGTGGAGAGGCAGCTACTAGAAAACTCCACCAGGGAAGCAGCAGCAAAACAGGGTCAGGAATCTTGACTCCCCAGCTCAGGCAGATTCCCTCTGCTCTGATGGGGGCATCCCAGAGGGCTCAGCACTGCCAGCCCTGGGTAACCAGCCCCTCTGGAGAACACCCAACCAGGAGGGCAGCATCTTCCACCAGCACCCAGCCCCTGGGGCTTCCCATGTCTAATGACCCCATTCTCCCCCTCTGCAGAATGGGGGAAGGCCCCTGTCCTTTTCCTGGTCTTGAGGGATTTTGGAAAGGGGCAGGGAACAGCATTTCACACTCTTCCCGTGCCAGCGATGACCCTTCGCCACCAGGGACAGTTTCCCATGGTCTATTTCTGTGTTCTTGCATGACTGGGGAGGCCAATTTAGGCTCAACAGGTTCTGCCACAATTCAGAAAGTATTTCCACATGCGCAAGCTGGGATGACTCTCATCTAGTAATTTTCACAACTCTGCAGTAACACAAGCAAACACACATCACGTTAACAGTTAAGAGCAACAGCTCTAGAGTAAGAGAACACCAGGGTTCAAGTCAGGCTCCACCACTTCCTACGGCAGAGCCCAGAGCACCTCCCCGCTGTGTGCGAGCATCTGTGAAATGGGAGTAGGAATAGCACCCACCTCCCAGAGCTGCTGGGCTTGGGAGGCGCTGGCACAGGGCC